TCGTAAACCCTAAACACTCTCTCCTAAACACTTAACACACTTCCTAAACCCTCCTAGGGAGTGTTCGTAATGTATGAGCTGTATGACTGCCTTCCCCTATAGTTAAAGAAATAAATGCTGCAGCTCAATAACTATCATCTGACTGTAAGTTTGCTGCTGCTGCTGCTGCTGCTGCTGCTGCTGGTAGTGGTGGTGGTGGTGTGCGACTGGTCCATGGGAGGAGTAGCGACCCTCTCTGACTAGCAGCAAGCCTTCATGCATTATAATCCCCCTATATGTATTCTTAACAAACAACATAACTCACCCATATCTCTGTAAGCTGGAGGCATAGTCACTGCTGCTGCTGCTGCTCCAGCTTCTTGTTTTGCTGCTGCTGTTGTAGCCATCATCGCCTGTTCTTCATTGAGGCGGCGCTTCTCAGCGTTGTAAGGGGAGCAGTAGTGCGGCAACATTGCGGTAAAAAGGGGAAAAGGGAGGAAACTAGGGAAATAAATTAAGGATTACCTGCAAAATAGGGAGAAAAACGATGAAAATAGGGAAAAAAACTCAATGGCAGCAACACCAATGGTAGCAGCGAGACGGCTGGCTCGGTTGAGCCGCAGCAGCAACAGCAGCAGTAGCGGAGTGCTGCGGCTGCTACAGCGTCGAGTTCTATGGGGTAACGAGGAACCGTAACCTTCACACTAAAAGATGACTTAAAGTATTTATTTTAAGTACAAATAATTATTTAATTGTATTTTTAAAGCTTTTTTGCTATTTTAGCCGCATGATCTGCAGTATTCGGGTTCCCCTTCAATCGATGTGCAAGAAAGCACGGCGCGCGCACGCTGGCAGCAGCAGCGGATCCTTAAAGAAAGAATAAAGAGGATAATTTTGAGTATTTTTATTTTTATACATAAATAATATATTTTCCTTCAGGACATGCAAAAAAATTAACTCGGCTGCAGCAGGATCGCTAAAGCGATTGGGGTTCGCGATTCCTGTGTCGTGGCGAGTCAGCATGCAGTTCTTCTGCACTGCTAAATATTCATTTTTTATCGACTTTTAATCTGTCAATCATCTCTGTGCCTACGCAACACCTCGTGCTGCTGTTCAGAATTTTCCTCCGTCGCTACGTCGTTAAGGGGTTACTCTCAGACCACTGGTCCGAATCGTCTAGAGGTTAGGACAACACGTTGTGGCCGTGTAAACCCAGGTTCGATTCCTGGTTCGGACAATTTATTACCTGGCTTCCTACGTCTTACCTGTTGCCTTCCAATCATTTTAATAGCAACTGTTGCCACCCCACTTTTTTTTTTTAAAAAAAAAAAAAAAAGTTAGTCGCTTTTTTTTTTAATTATTGCATCACCTGCAAGGCATACAGTTCTTCACACGCTTCCTTGGTGTGCAGAAGCCAATATGCACTCACTACAAACGCCTGCGCCAACTATAGAGCAGATTATCTTTTTTCTGACATTCCGTCATTAGCCGAAATGCATACGCTAATGTGTGTGCTGGCCGAGAGGGAAGAACTGCGTAGAAAACTGCTAACTCCACAAAGGTAGAGAGAAAAGAATAATCGGAAAGGAGAACAACGAGCACCTACCTGCCGACGCTGTTGTGCTACCTCATTCCCTACCTACAGATCTGCCGTCAACGAGCAGTTTCAGCGTGCCCATGCAGGACAGGTCCCTACCTTCCTCCTCACGGGGGGACGTCAACAAAAACCCAATAACAATCACAAAGTTGGAGGTGGACGAATCTAACTTTACCACCAACTCTTAAAGGGTATGTGTGCTTCCTTCCGTTGAATGAGGAATATACAAACCGGTGCCGCGTCCGATCAGGATCTCAGTCTCTTTCAACCCGTAATGGTGTTGGTGCCTTCTTCATGAGAAGATTCGAGTGAGCTTTATTGATTCCCCTCACCACCACATAGCACATTGTGCAACAAACAATAGTGGTGTAACGACACTTTGCGTGTGGTGGTATCTATGCAATGGAAGTTACAGCATCGAACCCAGAACACACGCAAAGGAATGCCAAACGTGTGACAAAAGAATTCCTTGAGCTGTCCGGATTCCCCCACCCCTCCTGAGGTGCGAAATCCACTAAATGTAAGTACCGTCGGTTACACTAGCATTTGGCCTACTATTCAGTTGACCCACTTGAGGTGGGAGGTTTGCTTAAGGCGGACAACCTCCCCTACAAATTTCAGGGGTCCTCGACAGAGTGGCAAACAAGGATGAAGTGGATGTGCAGGCATGATTTGGCTGTTCATCTTGCTGCCTGTCCTGTTGCAAAGCAATCGCATATAGAAAGTACTCCACAACCCTCTTTTGTTGCATGCATTCAAACCTCCTTGACCCTGCCAAGCACTCGCTTCGTAGTAAGTAGACAGCCTGCACCCATAGGGAAACAAATGCGTCTACCTCAGGGACGGTACTCGAGACGAATGCATTAAACAAAGCGCATCCCCTACCCCGAAACTGGCAATATGGCCCACTTGTTCTTTAACCACAGAGCGCACAGCACAGGGGAAATAAGCTTAATGGGCACCAAACAGTCAATTCCCCAATGAATTGCAGCTCTACTTGACAGACTAACAGTTGCTCACATGCAGTTCCTGACTATCGACGGCACTTTCAAACAGAAGGTCTTGCTGTTCACCCCTAAGCCGAGTAACACGAACTGGCAATAACCAAGCTGGACGGGTAGGAGAAAAGCCGAATATTTCTTCAGTCAGTCCCCCCCGTTAGCAAAATATGTATGCATTGGCATGTAAGAGTTCCGTCGCCGGGAATTGAGCCCGAGTAGTGCGGGTTAAAGCCGCCCATCCTAACCACTTATACTACGACGGGTGGACGGGGGATGGATGCTAACGTGTTGCCGCCCCTATGCATACTCACCTCCACACTCCCGTGGAGCGTCCACAAGAGATTATATCCTGGATCCTGTTGCCCGAATATTGCACAGCTCAGATTTGTTTGGCGGCTAACCAGCAAAACGTCGAAGTCTGCATTCCTCCCCATTCTGGTGCTTTATCCCTGCGCTCCATTGTTATCTAACGAGTTGGGAATAAAGGAGAGACAGAGAATAGTACACGAAAGGAAGACATAGACGAACATGACTGGCTTAATGAGCCAAATGGAGAAAAGGGACGGAATGGCAGAGACAGAGACGAAAAATATGGTTAGCGATTGCCTAAAGAGAGCAGCAAATCCACAGTAACATGCACGGATAGAGGCAGACGCAGGCAGGGAAGCCATACATGACCAAAGATGTCTGGCTTTCTTACGTGATACCCCCATAGCATTGGGTGCAGTTGCTTTGTGTGGGTGTTGCTTATAGGGTATACCTATCTTCCCTATTCTTAGCTCGTCACACAGACAGATTGCAGTGAATAAAGGAGATTAAAATGCTTCTTAGAGGCTGTAGCAAATCAGGCAGCTAACCACCTCCCTATCTAGTGTCTTTGGCATAGGGGCACAGAAGCGTCGGGCCGGTGCTACGGGAGAGCGGAGTGTCAAGAGTTGCACTAATTTTTGTTGTTGCTGCTGCTTGAAACTAAGAACCCCACATGCAGACACAGAAAGTCCCCTCTTCCGATGTATGCAGCAGCAATGGGGCAGGCAGCTGTTGAACAATTGCATAGCCACTGGCTGCGTGCCCTCGGGCATGTCGGGCGGCAACACAGGAGAGAAGACCTCCAGCTGCATCACGAACAAATGCTACATTTGGACCAGCTAGCTACGGCTGCTTGGTGCAGCTAGATAACTGTAGGAGGCAGCAGGTGGAGTCTGCTATGGTGCGCTGCATGAGCAAGTGTGGTGTGCCTATACCATGTAAACGACCATAGCACGGCTAGTAATTATCTACGCGGAGGATTTCCTACAAAGGAGACGTCTAAAATATAATTTCCTACGGAGAGGATAAAAATAAATTACTTTTTTTTAACTCCCTTTTTGTTGGCGGTTAACTCATTGGGGAGAAAACACACAGAAGTACACTTATCGGGTGTACGCACAGACGCCGCAGACAGTTAATGCTACTAGCCCTTGCTGCTGCAACAAGAAGATTTGCTGCTGCAACAAAAGCTCTTGCTGCAGCTCAAAGATGCAAGACAATAACTCCACAAGTAAGTAGGCAAGAAGACTACTTATTGCGGTGTATGCACAGACACGGCAGATAGTTAAGGGATTTTGCTTCCTTAGGAGTTGCCTTATAAGGCACAATAAAGAATAATATATAAACAGCAGACCAAAGGGAAAAAGGAGTAAAGATACAAACTTTTCTGCCTAAAGGGACACCCTGTTGCTGCTGCTGCTGCTGCCGTTGCTGCTGCTGGTTGTAGCTAAAGCCCACTAGTGTGTATGCGGCGGGGAGGGGATCTTAAGTGTTATAATTATTAATTATGTTTATTAAATATAAATTTAAATTAAAGAATAAAAAAAAGAACAAAAAGGAAGAAGAAGGCGGCAAAAAACCGTCACACAACTGAGGCTGACCGTTGGACAAGGGGCTCTTCTGCTGCTGCTGCTGCTGCTGCTGCTGTTGCTGCAGCAAGCGCAACTATTTGATGTCTACTGCTTCTTCGGCATTATGGTCATTTAAACATTAATATTATTGTTAATTAATTTATTAATTAATTATTAATTAATATATTCGCATGCAAGAACGCATGCAACGTAAATAACCAACAAACACGGCGCCCTGAGGGTTCATATTAGGGGCTGCCAGCAGCAGCAGCAGCTCCTGCTGCAGCAAGAGCAGCAGGAGCTGGGATTTGCTGCTCTCTCTTGAAAGGAGCATCGCTGATGCTCGGTGTGTACGTAGCTGGTCTATCCTTCATGCTTGCTGATGCGCACACGCCGCCCAGCAGCAGCAGCAGCAGCACCCGATAACTGTTGTACATGCAGCACTAGCAGCACCAGCAGCACATGTAAACAAAACAGGGGGGCAGCCCAGAAGGTTGTCTTACCTCCCAGGCTTCCCTGGCAGCTGCAGCAGAGCAAGGCGGCATGTCACAAGGGCCGGGGCCAGCGCCTGCTGTTGCTGAGCCTGCAGCAGCAGCAGCAGCAGCAGCAACTGCAGCAGCAACAGCAACTCCAGCAGCAGCAGAAGCAACAGCAGCAGGCCACGAGCCGTTTCCTCCTTCGCTGTTAACAACCACCTCCTCTTCCCGTCCTAGTAAGCTCGATGTCCTTGAAAATGCGGGACAATTTCCTAGCAGCAGCAGCAACAGGAGCAGCAGCAGCAGCAGCAGCAGCAGCAAGTTGGCTGCCAGCAGCAACAACAGGCTCCTCAGCAGCACAAACACCTGCCGTGTTCCTATCTTGCTGAAGGGAGACGCAGACTGCTTTGTTGCTGTTAATGTTGGCGGCCTCGTTGCTGTACCGCTTCTCCAGCAGCAGCAGCAGCAGCAGCAGCAGCAGCAGCAGACCGCTTGCTGTGGCTGCTGTCCAGAGACAAGAGGAGATACGGGAGCAGCATCATTTTTAGTAACAGCAGCTCTCTTTGTTGATGGCCGCAGGACTGCACCCCCTTGCCTGCTGCTGCCACCCATGCAGCAGCAGCAACTGCAGCAGCAGCAGCAGCACGGTGCATGCAGTGCTGCAGGAGTGCAGCAAGAGGAAGAATTAGATGGTGACAAACAACTCGGCCTTTGGCCTCGCCCCTGTCTACATAGTTTAATTGGATACCCCACATGCTCTGCTGCTGCTGCTGCTGCTCCTGCTGCAGCTGGTGGTGATTCAGCAGATGCTGCAGCAACTCCTGCTGCACCCCTCCAGCAGCAGAATTCCAAGCGGCAGGACGCAGCAGCAGAAACAGTAAACGGAGTGGGGAACTGGCGAGCAGCAGCAACAGAAGCAGCACCAGAAACCGATAAAACAACCGAGCAGCAGCAGCCAGCAGCAGCAGCAGCAGCAAGCGTTGCTGCTGCTGGAGCTGCTGCAGATCAACTTCGGTCAAGTGAAACCGCCAAAGACGCGGTGAGGTTGGAGACGAATGGCAGCAGCAACAGCAGCAACAGCAGCAATTGCAGCAACAGCAGCAACTGCAGGAGCAACAGCAGCAGCAGCAGCAGCAGCAGGTGCTGCTGCGTGCACTGCGGCACAAACTATGTGTCGCTGCAGCAGCTGCTGCGGCTGCCTGTGAAGGTCTCCGCGCTGCCGCTAAATGCTGTGCTGCTGTTTGGCGTCTTTGTGCACGATGGCCTAGCTGCTGCTGCTGATGGTGCAGCAGCAGCAGCAGCAGCAGCAACGGAGACAGCAGCAACAGGAGATGGCTGGCGGCTTTTTGGTGTCTCGGTAATGCCCCTTCACGATGCTTCTGCCTGTGTTAAGCAGGGCAGGCAGCTGCTGCCTATTCACTTGCTGCAGCACTACCTGCCGCTGCTGCCCCTCAGCAGCAGCAGCAACAGCAACAGTAACAGCAACAGCAGTAATACGCAGCAGCAGAGCCGCATCCAACAGCAGCGGGCGCTGGAGGCGCTTCGAGATGCGCTGCTGCCGTTGTCGCTGCAGCGGATCCAGTGCAGCGCAGCTGATGCAGCAACGGAGGCAGCAGCAGGAGCTGCTGCTGCGGCATCAACAGCTGCAGCTGCTGCAGCAGCACCATTTGGGTGGACAGCACAGTCGGTGCTGTCGCTGCTATGCTCGGCCAGTGGCCCTCTAGCAGCAGTGCAGCAGCAGCAGAAGCACAAGCACCAGCAGCAACAGCAGCAGCCGCAACAGGAGCAGGAGCAGCAGCAGCAGCTGGTCCTCGAGAGAGTAGAGATTGAGGCAGCAGCAGTCCGCTGCTGCAGGCTGCTGCATTTGCTGCAGAGCGGTGTAATTCCTCCTGCTGAGGAGACACTTGATGCAGCAGCGCAGCAGCAATTGCAGCAGCAGCTGCAGCAGCATCTGCTACTACTGCAGCAGCTCGCCCAAGCCGACTACGAGGAAGTGTGGCAGCATATTGTTGGTGCAGCAGCTGCTGCCCCAGGAGCAACTCCCACAGCACCAGCAGCAACAGCAACAGCAGCAGCAGCAGCCGCAGCAGCAGCAGCGCGAGTTCCCTTTGGGGGGTTCCTTTATGTTGAAACTCCTTCTTACGGGCTGCCGCTGCTGCACGGTGAGCTGCGGCTGCTGCGTGCTGCTGCTGGGTCTCTAGGTCCAGCAACAGCAGCAGCAGCGCAGCAGCAGCGGCCGCCCCCCCTGCTATTGCAGCAACCCGTTGGCACCAGCAGTAAAATGCCTCTCCCTTTCCTTCCTCCCCCGAGGGTAAACAAATTGCATGCAGCCCCACCGGTGGCCCCTGCAGAGGCTGCAAAGATGCTGCTGGTGCAGCAGCAGCTGCAACAGCAAGAGGATATGCTGCAGAAGAAGCAGCAGCAGCGAGCGGAACAGCTGCAGCAGCAACAGCAGCAGCGGCCCCAGAACAAACTAGCAGAGGCGCCTGCTGCAATTCTTCCCTCTGTGTCTTCAGCAGCAGCACCAACAGCTGCTGCTGCTGCGGCAGGCATAGAGACAACCAACTCACAAGCAACTGCAGCAGTAAAAGCAGCAGCAGCAACAGCAGCAACAACTCCTGCTCCACGTAACTGGCTGAGCAGGACATGGGGCATTCCTCCTTTGATACCCGTTTCTGCATCTGCAGCAGCAACAGCAGCAACAGCAGCAACAGCAACAGCAGCAGGATCTGAGCGACTTACTGACGCTGCAGTTGCATACAGCAGAGAAGGACCTCAAAGGCAACCCGGAGCAACAGCAGTAAGCGATGCAGCAACAACAGCAACAGCAACAGCAGCAGCAGCAACGGGCGCAGCTACTGGAGGTATTGAACCAGGAGGAGAAATCTCTGCTGCTGCTGCTGCAGCTGCTGCTGATGCTGCCTCGGCAGGACCAGCAGCTGATGCCCCGGAGCTCGCTTTCGTCGGGCTGCCGCTTAGAGAGATCATCCAACAGCAGCAACAGCTGCAGCAGCAACAGCAGCAACAGCAGCAGCAACGGCAGCAGCAGCAGCAGAACTGGAAGCTGCTGCTGCGTAATCCATTAGTAGCAGAGCGGCTGCAGCGGCGTATGCTGCTGCAGGACGCCTCGTGGGGTGTAACTCATCCCGCTGCAGCACGGGCTGTACAGGCACCTCTACACAACTCCTCTAGTATGAATGCTGCTGCTGCTGCTGTTGCTGCTGCTGCTGTCGTTGGTACTGTTGTTTTCAGCCTTCATTGTGTTTATGCTGCTTGTCCTGCTGCTGTTGTTGTTGCTGTTACTCTCTTCGTTTTGGCTGTTGCAGCTACTGCTTCTGTGTCGTCTGCTGCTGCTTGGGTGTATGTGCAGCAGCAGCAGCAGCAGGGCAGCTGCCTCCTGCTGCAGTGACGCGGGCCTTTCAGCGTTGCTTCTTAGGGGCGGGTGTATCAGGTGCTCCTTCAAGAGAAGAAAGGGCACTCCTATGGACATACAGGTCTGCTGCTGCTGCTGCTGCTGCTGCTGCTGCTGCCTGTGGTTCTCTTGCTGCTGGGGTCCCGCCTCCGTATGCTGGTTGTTGTTTAGCTGGAGGCAATTCTTTGCTACTTTTGCTGCTGTTGCCATGATTGTTGTTGCTGCTTTTGCTGCTGCTGCTACTGTTGCTGCTGCTGCAGGCAACAATTGATGCGGCTGCCGTGTGCACTGGCGCGGCTACTGCAGACGGTGGACTGGAGCAGCAGCAGCAGCAACACCCCTCAGCAGCAACAGCAGCAACAGCAGCAGCAGCAGGAGGCGCTGCAGTTGCTACAAGAGGTGGATCCTTCGTTATTGTCTGTTGAAGACATCTTAGGTTTGCTGCTCTTCTCGACAGAGGTAGAACCTGCAGCAGCAGCAGCAGCAGCAGCAGCAGCAGCGGGAAGTGGCCTGGGTACTGGTGAAGCAGGCGGTAGCAACGGCAACAGCAGCTGTAGCAGCAGCAGCAGCAGCATAGCAGCAGTAGTGCATGCAAAGGTCAAGGAATTAGCCGTGCAGGGCATCGAGGTGGCCCCACAAGAGGAGATCCTCTTCTTCATGCAGCAGCTCGTACAGCTCATTCGGTCCGCCTCTGCTGCTGCTGCTGCTGCTGTTGCTGTTGCTGCTCTTGTTGTTTTTGCTGCTGCTTCTTCTGTTCCAGCGGGTCTGCTATAGCTGTTCCCTTAGCAACACGCGGTTGCTGCTGCCGCGACAGTTGCTGTTAACGCTGTTCGTGCTGTTGCTGCTGCTGCTGTTTCTGCTGCTGTTGCTGCTGCTCATGTGTGTCTGTCTCCGTTTATCTTCCTTTGTCTCCTGCTTGTGTTGTTTGCTGCTGTCGCCACGCCTTGCGACGGTCCCCTTCCTCTCCTCCTGCTTTATCCTGCTGCTGTTGTTGTTGCTGCTGCTGCTGCTCAGGACGGATCAGCACGTGTGCAGCAGCGGTGGCCGATTAGCTGCTGCTCTAATCCGCCGCAGCGCAACAGATGTCTCCTTAGCCTTAAGTTTATATTGGCTGCTGCAGTCTAGCAAAGAACATCCTGTCAGCATCTACTCACCTCATGCTGCTGCTGCTGCTGCTGGTAGTGCTGCTGCTGCAGCTGCTGCTCATTCTTTCATTTCTGCTGCTTCTGCTGCTTTTTTTTCTGTTTGCTGCGTGCTGTATTTGATTGTTTGTGTTTTCTTCCCTTTTGCGGTTCTCCTCCTTGCTGCCGCCACAGCAATCCTCTGCCCCCGCTGCGCACCTAAACCCTAAACCCTAAACCCTAGTTGTGTGTGTGTTTACTCAGGCTGACGGCCATTTGTACGTTCGAGCTGAGCAGCGATTTCTCGACTGTCTCCGCAGGAGGAGACGTCGTCTATACACCTCGGTGCCAGCGCAGCAGCAGCAGCAACAACAGCAAGAGCAGCAGCCGCAACAACAGCAAGAGCAGAAGCAGCAACAACAACAGCAACAACAACAGCAAGAGCAGCAGAAGCAGCAACAGCAGCAACCGCAGCAATTGCACCCCCGTGTGCGGCAACAGGCAGAAATGGCGGATAAAATCTTGCGGCTTCTT